AAAAAAAAAAAAAAAAAAAAAAAAAAAAAAAAAGAAGGAAAGGAAGAGCGACATTGATTATTTGAAGTTACAGTGTGAAAGATGGATCTGTAGCTACTCGTGATTCTGAACGAACGTGACCGACTGTGTGTCTAGGGAATTTCTTTATCGGAGAAAAGTAAAAGAAGAAGTAATACAGGGAAAGGAAAAGCGCACGTTAATTTTCGATTTAAGCACCGTTCAGTTACATTTACAAATACATTCCGAGCGTTTATATTTTCCCTGCCATTGATGTGAAATTAATTCGAACAACGAAATTCCAAAATTGATAGAAGCCTAAATTGCTTTTTTGTTTACCAGATATCACAATTCCAAAGTATTAAAATTTAAGATATTAATCAAAATTAAGTCTTTATTATTTCATTCGGTGCACGCTGAAAAAAATCTCGCAAATTAACTGAGGAGGTGAAAAAAAAAAAGGAGAAAGAGAGAAAGAGAACAAACGAGATAACAGTATTTAGCCTGAAACTACGTGAAGTCAACTGCTTGATGCGCCGAGTTTTTACGCAGTTGCATTATTTGCATTATTTTCAGCAGCTTTTATTTGAGGTAGCGCACAACTGGACGAACGCGATAGCGATTTTTCGAAAGTATCACGGTCGTTTCAAACGACCCGGTCGACCCGCTTATGGCGCCGCTAATAAACGCGACACTCATCACTCTACGTTTATTCTACATTTTGTTGCAGTAGGCGAGGGCTCGGTGCTGAAGCTGACTCGCGTCACACGTTCAGACATGGGGCCGTATCTGTGCATAGCGTCGAACGGTGTGCCTCCAGCTGTCAGCAAACGGATCGTCCTCAATGTTTACTGTAAGTACACTTGAAGTATATATTTTAAACAAATACATACATAGAATTACGTATAACTTGGTTTAGAAGTAGCCACGAAATTTTTATGTCTGTTAAATGTCTGTATTATGTTACATAAAACGCTCTGAAATTTTATTAACAACGTAACACACGCGCGCGCGCGATGCTACCGTTGTAGTTAGAGTGCAAATTTTTAGGGATATTTAAGAAATAAATTTTAAACAGATATTTTGGATTTATTTGCTAAGAATCAGGGAGACTGCTCTGAAGTTCTAGGATTCCAAAATTATTAAATTAAAAATTCTCAGATCTCCGAATTTCCAAAATTTAAGTTTCACAGTCGGCTCGTAATTATGCATCAAATTACGCTATACGAGGATATCAACATTATATAGTTTAATAACGTGACTCGTATAGAAATATAAATGTGTTATCAATATGTTGTATAAAAGATATTAATTACCTTGCTGAAGCTGTATTGTGTTACTATACAATTATTTTGTGCTGGAAAATGGCGGAGTTAGAAGCTAATAAATGCGGATCAATTTCCAAACTGATCGCTAGCGGTATCGAGTGGTAAAACTTCGTTCGGAAAAAAAAAAAAAAAAAAAGAAAAAAAAGGAAGTAATTTCATTTACGCTTTAATTGGCTAACGAAGGACGATTTAATCGGTCGTATAAATCGAAAACGCTTCGACTCGGAGAGCAGTTAATGGCGTACAAGCTTGGCACAAAGGCAAACAACCGAAAGCGCTAACAATGCATTATGCACGCATGTTGGAAAATGCAATTTAAGGTGGTCTTGCTACGTGGCCGTGGATCTGTCGGGAGAACGGTACCATAATGACGCCACTTGGGAGGCCGTGAATGGCAGATGCAGGGGACCATTGTTTCCGGCGCTGAAGTAACGCCTTAAATATTTTCTGCCGGCGGCAAATCTCTGCTGTCACGAACCCACCTGTCCGGCCATCTTCACGGATTGATTAAAATAAAGGCCGCTGACACGGCCACGCTTTGAGCTGCGAGCAAGGAAAAAGAGAGAAAAAAAAAAAAAAGAATCCACTGATATTCCGAATTTACTCGGGTGTGCCAAATTCCCTTTCTTCGAAATTATCTGATCTGGAATATTTAAAAAGTGCAAAGACGGAAATACACGGTAGAATCTGGATCATTGGAATATCGATTAACTGGAAAATTTAGGTCTCGCAGAGAAACTGGAATAATATTAGAATGGAAGACTTGGAAAACGTTCATACGTTTTCATTTAAAATTTCTTTCTCCTGCTTTGAGACCAAGTAATTAATAATAAATAATTTAAAGTATCTTCCCTCGCATAGGAGCAAAGTTTCGGATCAATAATTAACAAAATGATCCTCGAGTTGAATTTCAAGACTTAAATCTGAACCGAAGATTTCCACTATTTCGTATTATCAAATGTTTTATGACGACCTTTTACTTACTAGAGCGCGATCATAGAAATTGTCACAACGAGTGCTGAAAATTTGTATATAATTCGATGAATAAAATTTTCTACTGCAGTAAATTTAATTGAAGAAGAACCCAGCATCGTGTATCGTTTCTGACGAACCGAATATGTGTGAATTGAATTTCAAACTTGATATAATCAAATAAAATCTAGGCTTTCATTGGGATCCGTGAAAAGTTTCCTTCGGTTTTAATATTAAAGATGTAGATTGTAATTTTATTCTCAGCGGAGTTTATTAATTGATACAAGGCTAGATTCGTTCCGTGATGTTTGACATGGAGAAGGTACACAGTATAGGTAGCATAGATACAGGAGATTGGAAAAATGGTGGTTGAGCTCGCCTGGATATCAGTGAAGTCTCTCTGCAAAAAGGAAATATGAAATTTCGGAAAATAAACATCGCTAAGCTTTCAGTTTCACGACGTATTACTTCCAGAACAATGATCCGCATGGAAGGAGAAACATGGCAACGTGAAACAGAGAAAAATTGCAGATGATTGAATTTCCTTTGATATCAATTGAAATGAAGTCTACGGTTCTCGGAAATAGTGGTTCGCTTCTTATCTTAACAAAATCTTCCAATAATAACTCGTTAATTTTAATACAATACAATTGAAATGTTCCCCTTTGCTGCATATTCCGTTGCACGAAAGTAATTTTTAGCAATTTTCTAGCAATATCTACAATCGAGAAATTGACACGAGAGAAATTACAATATTTTTTGAGTTATTAATGTCTTGTTGTTTAAGTTGTTACTGTGCTCTCTGGTTGCAAACGAACGGAATACTTAACGTACGATAAGAAATTTTACGGGGATTGTTATCAGAAATTTTTTTCGCAGTTCAGCCAATGATATGGATTGAAAATCAGTTAGTTGGTGCTTACGAGGGCCAAACACTTGTCCTGGAATGTCACAGTGAGGCTTATCCAACTGCAATCACTTACTGGACCAGGCCATCCAACGAAACGATCACAAATGGTACGGAAATATTGAATTCTTTCTTACAAAGGACCATCGGTTTCACGTTCTCAATTTCTGCTCTTTGAAACTCAATTTGAAAAAGTCAATTCTTCTACTTTTAAATTTCCTATCGTAGAAGTACATATATGTATGTTTCTTAGGTTTCTCAGTAGTTTATGATATTGAAAATATTAAAAATAGTTATTTATTAGGTAGTTTTTTGAAACCGCCAAAGAACATACAGCAAACAATAGTGGAAAAATTAAAGAATAGTTCAAGCATCAAAAAAACGACAATTCGTTTCATGTATCAAATGTAATCAAAAATTTGGCAAAAAACAGGCAGATGTTTGATTAGAGTCGAGAACTTGCGACCTTAATTCTAAATTAATAATAAAATGAATTCAGACGAGTCAAAGAAATGATTGAAAATTTTTTACCAGTAGCGTATACGTAATGACAAGTTTCTGCGCCTTTAAGCTCGGCACTGCATCATTCTCGTTGGAAAATTTACGTACACGTAATTCTAACGCTGTCACACCTAATTGTTTCAGTTTAACGTCATTGTCTCGCTTTAAACGTGTCCCCGAGCCTTCCGTGATAATTGGCGAAGGGTGAGTGCGAAGGAGTACGCGCGCGAGATCTTGAGACATAGTGTGCCGTATCATCCCTTTAAGATTTATTCTCAATGTCAGACTGCGGATTTTCGTGCAAATTCATTCATATTTTCGAATGTCGTTAGAAATTGAACCAGGTAGAAAATTACTTTACGTTTCAGATATTATAAAAAAAAAACTATTATAGAAACAATGTCTTAAAAAATTTTTTTCATATATTTTTAAAATTCTTCGTGAATGTATAAAATTCTGCAATATGTTGATGACTGGATGCGAATTGATATTTCTACGGGTGTAATTTTAAAAGAGTACCGAGTATAAGTAGAAAATTGCTTTAATCAGTATTCTATCCTTTTCTATATACACTCTATTGCACTTTATTCTCAAATTTTCCACTAACGCATAAAAATCCGCTAAAAGTCTGTTAATAAAATATCTCGTCACCCGTCCGCCTATCTTAATTTGTCTCTTCTCTGCACAAGCCTCGAGTATCTTTAATTTCGCTGAATAATGCAGAGGAATTTATAACCGGATTAATTGATACGTCGACTGAGTTCCGAGCGTGAGAAAAACCTTGGCTCGTGGCGTGACAGAAACTCGTTAAATCCACGGATTGAGCGGAACGAAACAAACGGAAGAAACCGGAACACGACGAAAAAAGTGACACGGAACGGGCTAAAGTCGTGCTGTTCGATGATTGGAACGATTACGGACGAGATACCGCGGAAACGTTAATTTTTCGACATCAGATTTGTCGGGAAATTCTGTCGGAGGAATTTACTTCTACATCTAACAAGACTCCAAGTTTTATAAATTTCTGATAATTAGAAACGTGTTTTTCAATTATTAAAGAAAAGAAAAAAAATTGACTTTCAAAAGTTAAGTTGCTGTTGGAATTGTGTGCATCGTAGCAAAATGTATCTAGCAAGCAAGAAAATTTATAATGCACAATCTCGTTTTCATAACCTTTCTTGAATAGAAAGTTCGAAGTTTACTTAGATCTTCATGAAATATTGAACATTGTGAATCAGGCAGGTAGAGTGTAGAGATACTGAAAGAATATTTTAATAACAGAGAGAGAGAGAGAGAGAGATGAAAAATTCTAAAATAAATTTAAAAATAAAAGTAAAAGAGTTTATTGATTTCTTTCGCGCCAATTTAAAGTCAACTGTTCTTTCACTTAAAATAATAATATATCACCAGGGCTGATCTCGATATTTATTCTCACCCGTTCAGTAAAAGCTACACAGTGGTTCGCGAGATTCAAATCAGTTTTCCTCATCTCTTCCAGTTTCTTCTATGCATCTCGGTTTATCGTCAGCTGGTTTGATTAAATTTAATCATAAGCGCTAAACCGCGAAACTCACCGCCAAGAAAGAATCCCGCCGCCATTCGTCCCGCGTTCAACCTAAATTTCTTTAATTTATTCCATCCACGTTGCACACACATTCTCCGCCGAGCATAATAAAACTTCATTTGCGCCACCAGCACGCGTCTCGTTTGCCTAGGAAAAATATCAGACGACCGACGAGATAAACAGACGCCCGATATATCCAAATATATGTACGGCAGCGAAATACGCGCGACCATAGGAAAATTATTACCGAATCACCCCCCGAACAAACGACCTGCTCTGATAAGTCCCGAACCGGGCGAATGTCGGATATTTCCCTGGCATTGTCAGGCATTTTCAACGGCGAACGAGCACACAGACTTACGTGGAACGTACAACGTGAACGCGATCCGCGCGGAGAAAATGATGGCCGCATAAACAACACGTCGCCGTTGTATATTCAGCTCGCGTTATTTCGACAAAGTTTGAAGACGATACGCCGTATAAATAGTCAATTTAGTCGGTGGGAATTCCACGTTTTGTTCCAAGTAAAATGTTACGTTTCACTCTTTCTCTGTTATTGCTGTCGTCGTCGTCTCGCCGTAATAAAAGGAATTAGCGCCCCAAGTGACGAGGAGAGCAATTACCGCGATCGGCGAGATGAATGGCGTAACTCGCGGCCGATGAGCCTTATCAAGCAGTTTTTCATTGCATACTTCGGCGGTGAGCGAACATCCGGGCTGGAGATTGAACGAGATTTTTCAATTACGAGGGGCGATTGTTCGTGGGAATACGTATTCCTTGGCATCCGCGTTATTAAGCTATCGCCGACTCTCGGCTCTCAAGTCTGGTCCTATGCTCCGTTGGTTCCACGTTGATCCTTATTTAGCGTCTTTGCGTTCGAATATTTATTTCGTTTATCATTTTCTTTCTGTCAATCATTAATCGTTGTTTCTTTCTTTTTTAAACGGTATAGTATTGATTGAATGTGTGTATACAGGGTGTATTCAGGCAACTTTCACACCTGAAAATTATGCGAATGGAAAATTTTTTACAATACAAAAATTGTACGGTTTCAAGGGAGGGAAGAATTAATATAATATGAAGAATCGCTTGTTTAGTTTTTCATTTTTTTTTTTCTTTTTTTTTCTGTCCGGTTCAACGATTTCGTTCGTATCTGAGAAATTATCGGGAAATGATATCGATATTCTTGCTTCCAGAGAATTACAAGGTCGAAACGATCCCAAAGGGCTACGAGATAAATATGAGGCTCACTATCAAGTCCGTGCAGCCGCAGGATTTCGGGTCGTACAGATGCGTGGCGAAAAATTCATTGGGGGAGATGGATGGAAAAATCAAACTGTACAGTAAGTAAATTGCACTTTGTCTCTATTACTCGATGATATTTCGTCGATCGTTGTCAGAATGTTAAAATTTTCCATTGCGTACAATTCGTGACACGATTAGCTTCGATTGCAGTATAGTATAATGAAACTTTTACTGTCCGAGTCGCTCGTCGGAAATATAAACTTGAAACATACTAGTAAAATTTGTAACGTGCCAGTAAAATTTGATTTCGTCAGCTGCGACGAGTATTGCGCTCATTTCCTTTATTACTCGTCCGACGTAAAGTCTGATACGGAAGAGCGAAACGATGCCTTTTTGCGCTGCTGACGCTCCGTTATTTGGCAGGTCTATATTTCCCTGCGATACAATGCATACGTGCGTGTAATAGCGAAACTGCACGCTCGCGTGCATCGTGTCATTACGAAATATAAACCTACCGAGTCGTAACAACGAATCCGGTCTCTCGTCTGATCGCGAAATTTAAGAAGCGACATTTTTTTTCGATTATTGGGGCTGATTGCGTCCCCAAAGGAATGTTGCGGAACGTTAGAACGGAAATCGATACTCCACCTCTCCCGAAAGAGTACCTACGAGACGATAGTTGCGTCAATTTCTAAAAATTCATTTGCCTTCCTTTCTCTTCCCCACGATTCTTCGTTCTTTTTCTAAAAGAAACGTTGCTGCGTTTCCAGTTATACTCGATATCGTAAAAAAGAAAAAAAGAAGAAGAAAAACTAGCTGCGTTACAAAGAGCCGATCGAACATTTTAATCGCACGGAAAGCTGAACGGAACTTTGAATTATCGCTAGTTTACAAAAATTAATAACGGCAGTAACCAGGTAGCGGGGCAGCCGTGGAAGCGTGCTGCAGTCGTTAAAAATTCCGTCAGGTGTAGAATAAAATGAAATTACGCGGCAGCTATGATCGTAAATACTGCACGAGCTTCTGAAAGTGAATAATAAAATACGCACAAAATGTCAAACTTGGCGAACTTCTTTCATTCGAAATTCTTTATCAAGTGATCGCGTATAATGGAATAGCGTATAACGCGGGCCACGTTACTTGTCCAGAGTTTCGCGAAACTGGAGAACGAATTAAAAAAAAAAAAAAAAAAAAAGGAAAAAGAAAAAACGGAGAGAGAGAGAGAGTGTGTGTGTGTGTGTGTGAAATTTTTGGAAAAGTCGGTTGCTTCTAATCAAAGGCAAAATCACGGATCGTCCAGTCGATCTGAATTTATTTTTCCAACGGCTCATTCTGCGATCGTAATTGCACAGCAATTTCATAACCGTGCAACTTTTCTGCTTATCAGTTCGCGAAATCCTCTCGTTATCGTAACTTCCGTTAATTACACGGCTCTGTAACTACTCGATAATATCGAATCGAGGGTGCCAGAGTGGATGAGCAAGATCGAGAGTCAGAGAGAAAGAGGGAAAGAGAAAGAGAGAGAGAGAGAGAGAGAGAGAGAGAGAGAGACAGAGAGAGGTTGGTTCCACTTGAATTTTGTCGATGAACACGGAGAGTAACACGATCTTTTCGAACCACTCTATCCCAGTCAATTAATTCGTCTTAATAAATGCTATTCTACTTTGACCACTTTCTCTCTGTTTCGAATCGAAGTTTTGCACTCTCGCGAGAAGTGCGCAAAAATTGCCGGCTTTTCTCTTCGTAGAAAAACCAAGAGAAATATTTTAAAAGATTGAAGAGGAAAATGATTGAAGAAAAATATAATTATTGTATAATGATGTGACTACGAAATAAAACGATGAAATAAGATTTCTGCGGTTCGGAACGAGCTCGAGACGTTGGATCACTTTTGAAAAATCGCCAAATTACAAATATTGCTATTCCATTCTGCGAAAAACACGGAAATAGTATGAAAATTACTAACTTCGATGGAAATTTCAATCTTAATAAAGTTTAAACTTTAAATAAAGTTTTAAATAAAGTTTCAATCTCAATAAGTTTGAATTTCAATTTTAACAATAATAATTAATCTTCGAGTGTATTAATATTCCATCTTCATGAAGTCCTTGCATGGCGATAATTTGTAAAAGTGAAGTTCGATACTATATGAATTCTATTAACTACAATATAAAGCAAGAAATATAAAGCAAGAATTTCGTGTCTTTCGCCATTTAACTTTCTCTCTCTCTCTCTCTCTCTCTTTCTCTTCCTTTTCTTTTCGCCGTGTTATTAACGATTTTCGTTTCGCTACGGGCGAAGAAACTTCGTCAGTTACGTGCGCCGGTCAGAAACGCGAAAAATTTATTACGCTAAACACGTTACGTGTTACGAATAATAAGGGGCCCTAAACTCCCTGAAACAGCCGGCTGTTTTCAGTTCTGTAACTTGTTAATTATCACGATGATTCCTTTGCGCCCGTGTTCGGAAAGTAATTTACCCGGTGAGATTCGGATTAATTAAACAAACATACAGGTCCGCGAGTCAGGCGAGCTGTTTGAACGTTATTTACCTCGCGAAAGCGTTCAAGCTGCGTGCAATCGTACTCGAGCAAATTTGACGATACTGTACTAATTAGAAACGTGCTGAAGATCAAAGAAACTGGGAATCTTAATCAATTTATCCTTGCGGTTTGGACATCTTGAAATAATAAATCGTGAATATTCATCGCCTTGTGGACGAGTCTGTCCATTTCCATTCCTTAATTTACGTCACTCACATCGTAGAGATTGTCTCTCCACGTTTCCAACACTTGACTGCAACGCGAAATTTTAATTTTACAACATTTAAATTTAGAGAAACATTGTGTTAAAGCGCAGCGTTACAATTGCTAATTGTTGAATATAAGTGAATTTCCATTTTATAAATATTATAATTTTAAAAATATTATGCCTGGCATAGTCTGCATACTGCAAATTTACTTACGTTATTTAACTTTTCGATATTGTACTGAATACGAATGAATCAGAAGCGTTTCTATATTCATCGTTTTTATTTACTTTGGTATTATTTTTATTTGTAATCAAATAACTGTAAATTGATGGAAACGATATTCGGTGAAACTTTGTTCTATTTTCAAGTGAAATCTAGTTGATCAGAGTGACAGACTAAATTGAGACGAAACTTGTGTCAACTTTATAAATAAAATAGTAGCAATTAATAAAGTAACTTTGCGATAAATATAGATGCAAAAATCTTATCACCAAGCTGAAAATGTAGAACTATTTTCAGCTTCGCGTTAACTATTGACTTAATTTCATTTATTCGACTTTACTGTTTCATTCATTGAATTACTTCCACTAAAAGTGGAAGAAAAACAAAAATTAACGCTTTTTAACGAAAGAATTCCGCCAGACGCTTATTTTTTTTAAATTACTGCAAACGTTTGCGTTTCGTCTCAAAGAAGTGGAGAAGTTCGAGGTCAAAGGGAAACACCAGGTCTTTCGGAGTAGCTTCTCGTTAGCTAATGACGTTAGTGTCGTGTAATTCGGGAGAAAAAAAGGGAAACAGCTTGGGTGCCAGGGAATCGCAGACAGCTTTAAATTATGAAGGGTATAGGTGTAGGTATTGGTATAGGTGTGTATATATATATATATATATATATATATATACATATAACGTCACGTCACGTCGCATCATATCATGTCAAGTTCCCAACATAAACGTCACGTGCCTGTGTCGAGCGCGTTCACGTGACCTAACTACTCGAATGATTTCAAATATTGATTTCACGGGAGCTCTCCCTCCCGCTATAATTATTCCTTGTACGAAAATGATCATCGAAACTCACTCGCGTGGAAGGGGAGAATAAAATTAACGTGAAATTGATCAAAGATTTTTTCGAGAATTTTTCGTGTCCGATGGCTAGAGGTTAGATAATTAAAATTGTGGAATGATAATCAGGTTTGATGAATTAATGAGAAAATTTTTAATTCAAGTTAAAGGTTAACTTTCCACCTCGCCAGTTAGGTTTGAATCGCCGCAAAAACGTGAGCTGTACATTCAACATTTATTTCAGTTTGTTCGCTTCGGTCGTAAAATTGGAAATTAACGAATACTCCGGTTTCGCGCGACATTCAAACGATGACACTGTGACTACTTTGAACGCGAAACTTAATTAATTACAGATACGTTCATTTTCGTGTCTCCAGAAATTACTGAAATTTATTTTCAATGAAAAGCAGAGTTTGTCAGACTCGGAGGATCAAGCGACGTTCTTCGTTCGTACCGCTTGAGGACCTATGCTTCCAATTTCCATGCTTGTCAAACTCGAAAGATCGCGTAACAGCGCTTTATCAATCCTCTTACTCGCAATTTTTCTACGTGGAAAGCACATCGTTTCTGGAACTACGAAACTGTGAAAATAGAGAGAAGAAGTTTACGAAACTTCGTTCAAAAAAAAAACGAGGCTTCTTCCCTTTCGTTTTTAACCGAATTCGTGTCACCCTCGATAAGGCGTTGTAGAAAGAAAAAGAGAGAGAGAAAAAAAGGAAAAAATCAGAGAAATCTTCGATTCGCCGGGAGAGAGAGGAACACAAGCATTTCCAGTTGCTTAAACAATATCCGAACGCTCCTGGAACGTGACTTTCGAATGCCGTGCATACGATTAAACCGCGAGGCGGCTATTCACCGTTCGCTCTCGGCTACGGCTGATAATTAATCGGTCGGCCGATTAGAGTATCGGCCGGCAAGAAAGCCAAGGGAAAGAGAGCACGAGCACGCGGAATGAAACGGAGAAAGAGAAATGGGGACGGGATTTCACGAAAACCACCATTTGACATCGATGAATCGAAAAACAGAGAGAGAAAGAGAGAGAGAGAGAGAGAGAGAGAGAGAGAGAGAGAGAGAGAGAGAGAGGGAACAAGCGACCAATCGATTCGTGCACGTACTTAATTATCGATAATTGTAAATAAACCGGGCGACAAGCCGTGCAACCGTCATCGGGAGTTGCTCGAGTAATTGGCCGCCGGAACGTTTGAATTCAGATTTCGAGTTTCACGCTCCATTGAAACGCACCTCGTGAGAGAGTCGTTTCCCTTCCTTACCTTAATTCTTTTCT